CCAAACTCTCCACCATGGCCAAGACAAAAGAGCTGTCCAAGGATGACAGGGGCAAGATTGTAGACCTACATAAGGCTGGAATGGGCTACAAGACTATCGCCAAGCAGCTTGGTGAGAAGGTGACAATGGTGCAATTATTTGCAAATGGAAGAAACACAAAATAACTGTCAATCTCCCTCAGTCTGGGGCTCCATGCAAGATCTCACCTCGTGGAGTTTCAATGATCATGAGAATGGTGAGGAATCAGCCTCCTTCCCTCAGCCAGGGCATTGAAAATGGGTCGTGGATGTGTATTCCAGCATGGCAATGACCCAAAACATATGGCCAAGGCAACAAAGGAGTGGCTCAAGAAGCAGCACATTAAGGTCCTGGAGTGGCCTAGCCAGTCTCCAGACCTTAATCCCATAGAAAATCTGTGGAGGGAGCTGAAGGTTCAAGCTGCCAAACGTCAGCCTCGAAACCTTAATGATGGAGAGTATCTGCAAAGAGAAGTGGGACAAAATCCCTCCTGAGATGTGTGCAAACCTGGTGGCCAACTACAAGAAATGTCTGACCTCTGTGATTGCCAACAAGGGTTTTGCCACCAAGTACTAAGTCATGTTTTGCAAAGGGGTCAAATACTTATTTCACTCATTAAAATGCAAATCAATTTATCACTTTTTTGAAATGCGTTTTTCTGGATATTTTTGTTGTTATTCTGTCTCTCACTGTTAAAATAAACCTACCATTAAAATTATAGACTGATCATTTCTTTGTCAGTGGGCAAATGTACAAAATCAGCAGGGGATCAGAGATTTTTCCCCTCACTGTAGCAATATACTTTGGGTGTTTGAGCAGGTGCTGAAGTCACTGTTGGGGAGGTGGTCCTACTCTTTTCATGATCCTAAGGCATACTGCATCACCTTTCAAGTAAGTGCCTTTGTTCTTCTGCTGCCTGCACAAGCATGAGAGAGAGGATGGGTAACTGACTTGTAACCACATTTTTCTGGTGGCTATATAACCAGCTTTTCAGGTGTTCTGCCTCTCTGCTGCAGGTGATTATTTGGCTTTCTCTGGACTGAGCAGAAACGCAGAAAGAGAGCTTTGCCCCTTGGGACATGCAAACTGGACTGGGTTTGGAGAGCATTCTCTGCTGCCAAAAAGGGCTAGGATGGTGAGAAAATGTTTAAAACCTCAGTTACAGATGAGCAGTTTTTCTTCATATATATGCATAGTTAAGATGTGGTTTCCACTGCTGGTTTCCCTCAAGGTAAGTCATCATCTCCTCCAGATTCTGAAGAGGACAAAACAGTATAGAGCCATTTGCTACTTCTTTGAGTTTTGAAAACTTGGGGCAACCTCTTTAAAGGATTGGCTGATGCCGAGTCTTGTGCTTGAATGAAATTACATGTGCTTCAAGTTCTTTATTTTGTCTTCCAGGCTGGTGCAGAAATTTCCACTGTCAATCCCGAGCAGTATTCGAAGCGCTTCAATGAATTTATGTCCAATATCCTAACATAGTTGTCTTCCCATTGTTGGCAGAAAAGGAGGGAGAAGAAAAGTTGGGGGTGGGGCTATTATTTCCAGTACTACAGGAATGCAGCCCAGTCTCCTGGGTGTGATGTTCTGTCAGTGTATGATGACAATGTGACCTAGCAGAAAACTAAGCTCTAGCTGTGGACCTCCAAACCCGGTGGAAAATGGGACCTTTTCTCTTCTATTTTGGTTGCTACAATAAATATCCAAACATAAACCTGAGGAATAAAGTAGTGTTAAGTTTTGTACTTCTTTCCTTTGAAAAGCATCACAGTCTCCAAATGGTCAGATGTTAATGTGAATACATAACAAGATATAAATGATGGTTTCCTTTGATTGCTCATTACTCAGAGCAAATTCTCTTTGTTGCTTTCTCTAAGGATTGGACAAGAAATGGCCTGCCATTTTAAGGACAAGAACTGCAATGATGCAGGAAAACCATTTTAAGTCAGTTGAATGAAGACTTTTTACTTATGGTCTTTTGATATCCCAGTTTCTTTTCTGCATTGCCATTTCAAAAAAGATGAGGAATATGAGGGAATAAGATGGCTTCTTAAAGTTTTATGCAGATCAAGGGAGGAAAAAAGCAGTTTCAGAAGAATACACATTTATAATGGGATATGATAACAATTTCTTGGTGGAGATCATGAAGCGGTGAGGTAACTACATGAAAATAATATCTTGATGAGCTGCAAATACATTTGTATTGAGTTAGAATACAACCTGGATTAAGTTATCTCTGTAAGGTAAAGAACTACCAGAGTTAAATTGTTCATGGTTCAATCTTTTATACATTGATCTGGTTGCTTATGCTGTAAGATGATATTTTCCTGTTAAAAAAAGGTACCACTTCTTTGTAACATTTTATGCTATGAACCACTGTGTTAGAAATACGTTTCTCTCTAGCTTTTGATCATTCCATGTTGGGAAGAATCCATTCTCAGAATATGGGGAAAACGTAATAAATTGCTGAAAGTGACTGCTCTTAACCACTAGGACCAATTGTCCTGCTAATACAGTACAGATTGTTGGAATAACTTGCACTAGCTCAGTTTTCTTAAAAGAATCCAAATTGTTCTTGCCCCATTTGAATTGCAACTTTATCTTATAATCTGTAGTTGGATTTCACAGCCACACTTGTCAAATCTGCTGAAGATTTTGTATTCATTTATTCAATGTTTTCAGTATTCTTATCACGAGGATGGGTTATTTGTAGTTTTCTTTTTCTTTTTTTTAAAAAAGAGGGATTTCGCAGGTTATGAACCATCAACTTGCAATCAAGACACTTTGCTTACTCTTCCTGAAGGTGTTTCTTACACATGCCTTTCTTTTGAATGTGACTGTTGGGGTGTTTATGTTCTGTACCTTCTGCTTTGTGGATTCTGTCTTTTGGGGGAGTAAGGTAAATACTTTTTTGTTCCCCTCATGTATGTGCACACTTTCAGATGGGATTTTTCCCATTTATAAACAACAAAAATTCCACAATTCCAAAGTCATAGAATGGTTTACAAAGCTTAAAAATCATGGCATATGCTATACATAGCATAAATTTTGTTAAGGCATAAATGAAACTATAAATTAGGAATGGGATTTGAAAGTTCTTTTTTTTCCACCTATGACTTCAAGGCAGATTTCTCTTTTGTTAGAAGACACAATGCTTTCCCAATATGACTGTATCATAAAATTAGCGTAAATATAGGAAATTATTTCAAAAGGCAGGCATGGGCATGTTGATGGGCTGTACATTTTTTGAAAGTCAAAGGAAATTGCACACTTGAGGTCCAATGTGAAATAGAAAATTTAATCTACAGTACCCTGTCTTAGACTAGGAATTTCATCCTTTTGTTTTAATTTTACAAAGAACATTTTGATTAAAATCGGTAAGCATTAACATAAAAGTATATGTTTATAACATTATTAACAAATATTTATCAACAATCTATGAGTTAGTGCACAGTTTAAAAGACCATGAAAAGAGATGCTTTCTGGTTGATTTATTTACAGGAGAAGACATGAGAAACAGCCATAATGGGCAGAATGAGAAACAGAAAGAGCAAAATCTGCACTTTTGCCTATCCTTATTTTCTGTTCCCTATCTCCCCAAGCCTTTGCCTCTCTCATCTGTATCTGTGCTGTCTCCAGTTCTTCAATCCACTTGCATCTGAAGCTTCTCTCTAACATCATTAATATCCTGTTCTTTTTTTCTTCAGCTTCCCTCTTGGGGTCTAGGACAACTCGGTGCGGCCAGCTCCGCACGGCCAGCTCAGCACAGCCAGCTCACCGCTGCCAAGTCATCACAGGACAACTCAACATGGCCAATTCACCACAGAGACGACTTGGTGCAGGCAGCCGGAGGGAGAGCCAGGCGGGCAAGCGGGTGGGCAGAGTGCAGAGTAGCAGCCGGGGGGCTTCCCCTTTGCACACACACACCACTGCTGCCGCTGCTGTGTTCAGCCCATTTGGGGGCGGTGGTGAGTGGTGAGGTGGCGGAGGTCGTGGGCTTCCCATTTTCACACACTGTGCTACCACTGCTGCAGCCGCAGGCCGTTCAGCAGCAGATGTTTTTGGGACGGTGGGTGGGGTGGGCAGTGGGGAGGCAGTAGCGGCCGGGCACATCCCATTTTCACACACCCTACTGCCACCGCTCAGCGGCAGTGGTGTTCAGGCCATTTGGAGGCAGCGGCAGTGGGCGGGGCAGTGGGTAGGGTGGCAGCAGAGGCCGGGTGAATCCCATTTTCACATCCACTGCGACTGCTCCTGCTGCCACAGGCCATTTGGCGGATATCTGGATATCTCTGTGGTGCATCCCATTTTCATTCCCCACAGCCGCCGCCCCTTCAAGAGCCCAAACACCACCGATGCTGAATGCCCCGCAGTGGCAGGGTGTGTGAAAAGGGGATGCACCCAGCCTCCACCACCAAAGAGCCCAAACACCACCAACACTGAATGGCCCACAGCAGCGGTGGGGTGTGTGAAAATGAGATGCACCCAGCCGCTGTCGCTCTGCTCTCTTCCCATCTGCTCACCCACCTGGCTCTCCCTTCAGCTGCCCACACTGAGTTCTCCCCGTGGTGACTTGGCTGTGTTGAGTTGTTCTGCCACGACTTGGTGGCGGTGAGCTGCCCACGCTAAGCTAGCCGTGCTGAGTTGGTCACACCAAGTTGTCCCATTCCATCCCTTTTGAGCATCTCCATAATATCCCACTCTTTTCCTCCCAGTTCTAGGACTTAATAATAATAATAATAAAGTTGGAAGGGACCTTGGAGGTCATCGAGTCCAACCCCCTGCTCAGGTAGGAACCCTACACCATTTCAGACAAATGGCTGTCCAGTCTCCTCTTAAAAACTTCCAGTGTTGGAGCATTCACCGCTTCTGGAGGCAGGTTGTTCCATTGGTTAATCGTTCTAACTGTCAGGAAGTTTCTCCTTAGTTCTAAGTTGCTTCTCTCCTTGATCAGTTTCCACCCGTTGGTTCTCGTCCTGCCTTCAGGTGCCTTGGAGAATAGCTTGACTCCCTCTTCTTTGTGGCAGCCCCTGAGATATTGGAACACTGCTATCATGTCCCCCCTTGTCCTTCTCTTCGTTAAACTAGACATACCCAATTCCAGCAACCGTTCCTTATATGTTTTAGCCTCCAGTCCCCTAATCATCTTTGTTGCTCTTCTCTGTACTCTTTCTAGAGTCTCAGCAT